TCCAGGCAATCTGATTTCATGGTAAGAGACGGTTGACAAGAAATTGCCCCAGTGCGACCCGACCTAGAAGTTGGAGCCCGTAGTAAGGCAGCATTAGTTGCTACGATATGCGATGCTATGTCATGCCATGCGTTGCTGCGCTATGCTATGATATGATATGATGCGCTATACTATGCGATGGTTTGCTAAACTATAATATGTCATGCTGCGCTGTGCTATGCTATGCTATGATATGTTAAGACACGATATGTTATGATATGCTGCGCTATGCTGTGCTATGCTATGATACGCTTGGTTATGTTATGATATGCTATGCTATGCTAATGCAGCGCTGCGCTATGCTAAGCAAAAGCTAAGATGAAGCTAAGCTGAGCTACGATGAAATAAGCTAAGATGAGGCCAGCAACGCTCAGCTAAGGGGACGTAGCTGGGGGAACCGCGGGGCGGATGCTGGGGGAACCGCCCGGCGCGGGTTGCGCTGCCCGGCCCTTCAAGCACGCCGAGTAAGAACCCTTCTAGGCAGAGCCTAGGTAGGGAAAGACAGCGCTTCCCAAGGCCCCCCCCCCCCCCTGCGTCGCCGAATGCTCTTGCGTTGCCATGCAGCATCCACGTCATTGCTGGGGAATATTAGCCCCATTCCCTTTCGCAAGACGAGGCGGGGCCTGCGCGTGCAGAACGTCCCTGTCTCTTAGGATCGACTAACCCACGTCCAACAGCTGTTCACGTGGAACCCTTCTCCACTTCGGTTTTCCAAGTTCTCATTTCTACCACCGTGCCCAGGAGCTGTTCCACCCTGGCTGTTCCACCCAGACTTACGCCAAAAGTTTCGTCACAAGCCTCCTACTCATAGATGCAGCGAAATTGCAACAGTGGTTGGGTATCGGTCACCCGCCTGAGCGCCATTAATTTTCGGGGCTAGTCCATTCGGCAGGTGAGTTGTTGCACACTCCCGAGCGGATTTCAACATCCATGACCACCGTCCTGCCGCTAAACTGAACCAGCGCCCTTTATGGTGTCTGATGAGCGAGCAGCTAAGCACCTTATCCCAACGTTAGGTTCATCCCTCATCGCCAGTTCAGCTTACCAGTTCAGCTTCAGAGTTGTCATTCCTCCCAGAAGTTCACCCGAGTGACCGCTGGATTCTACCCATTTAAACTTTGATGATAGGGCGGGGGCAACGCGCCCGCGATTCCTATTATCATTCGCTTGACCGGATCAACCTGTTCAACTCCAGCTATCCGGAGGGAAACTTCGGAGGGAACCAGCTATTAGATGGTTCGATTAGCCTTTCGCCCCTATACCCAAGTATGACGAACGATTTGCATGTCAGTATCGCTACGAGCCTCCATCAGAGTTTCCCTTGAGTTTGCCCTTCTCAGGTATATATCACCATCTTTCGGGTCGTAACTTATATGCTCATGCTCGAACCTCTCTCACTTGATTGGTCGGTTGCTGGTGCAAAGATCCCAGCAGTCGCTTTCACTGCGCCAGCAGGCTTACCACCCGTGGACTCGCACATATGTTAGATTCAATGGCTCGTGTTTCAAGACGGGCCGCATCGAACCATTTAGTCGTCGTCTTTGCGTCAGGGAAATGCCCTAGTCACCAAGGCCCCCCGCCACTGGCAAGCCAAGGCGAGCTTCCAAAAGGCCGAGAACACTCGAACCAGACACGAAACAAACAGTCCGCAAATGATAAGGCAAAATATAGCACCAGAGACACTCTTCTAGTTGCTTGCGTGGGAGGGCGCTCGCATCGACCGCAATGTTAAGACTCCTGGCCGGAGCCCTGTTCGGCAGCGCAGCAAGGACAGCCGAAACAGGGCGCCTTCCCCGCGACATGCGGGGGGCAGGATGCAGTCGCCCACAAGAACCGACAGTGCCCCCGCAGTCCGGGGGGCATACGTTGGTCACAACGAGGGTCGCCGTCTCCACGGCGCGGGGGGCGCTCCGACTCGCGATCTCCCGGGTGTCGCGGATGGTCCCCCCGCTCTCCACATCGTTCACGTTCGTCGTCTCGACCCTCCCATCGGGAACCTTCCCGCGGCCGTTCTCCGACCAGGAGCGACAGGACTGGCGGCCGTTCCTTTTCCAGACACCGCGGCCGTTCACCGTTTTTTCGGGATCGTGTTCGGTCAACTGCTGCAGGCCGGTGCGATCGACGTCGTGATCGCGCCTATGTTTCTCGTGAACGGACCATGATCCTGTTCTTCAGCTGAACGGGTGATAATAGGTAATTTTGACCACGTGGACCATGCGACCTACACGGTAAAACACAAAATGTACGAATGGACAGAATTTTTGCATTGCAGAGGTGACAACGTCGAAGTGATGGACGTCTTACCAAATTTGTTACAGGCCAGTGCGCGTGCGCCCCGTACTACACAGGAGGATGCCAAGCGGTTGCACGACGATATCAACGCACCGACAACTCCTACCTGCGCGTCGGTGGCGACACCTACACCGACGCCCCTGCGGTTTACGGCTGCGCGGTCACGCGCGTGGATCTTGGATAGCGGTTCTGCCCACCACATCCAAGACAAGTCTGACCTCCCACCGCATCAAACCACTCGAGTACGACGAGGGCAAGAGCACATCCTCGAGACAGCCAACGGCGACCGAATCGTCAACGAGCACATCAAGCTCACACTACGGCAGATAGACCTCTGAGGTCAACCCGACAGCGCCAGTGGCAACGCCAGCACCGACGCTGCACACTACCACGCGTAACCCACAACAGGTTCCGACGATGGCGCCTGTGGTCGGTCACGCTTGCATTGCCAGGCAATCCTTCGCACTAATTTACACACACAACCCTCAGCATCCAGACTGTGAGATGCGTGCGTGGTCCCTGGTACACAACACACCATGTCGGCGCCAGCGCCGACTCAATCCACCTCGTGACCCTACCTCCGATGAGATTCAATATGAAGCATTTGTACCTCAACCGCTCGGCAAGGCGCTGAACGCAGACCACATAGTCCTCGCGGCGGATGTAGCAGCCGACCAGCACGGGGACTAGTACGCTCTGGTTGTGCTGGACCAGTGTACGGGTGCAACTATGGAATACCCAGCGAAGCATAAAGACGCCGAAGCAGCGAAGGCATCGTTCCTGGAGTTCCTCGCGCCCAATGATGATGTCAAACACATACGCAGATAGTTCTGGGGAGCTACAACAAGCACGCCGGCGGTTGGGACCGCGACGCGATGCCAGCACACCACACCGACCACAAACCAACGGTATGTCAGACACTTGGGATTGTCCGCGGCGCGTCCTCCTGGCATGTTCCCCTGTCAATTAGCTCTGGGGCAGCTACTATGTGCTGAGGCAGTTCGAGCTTAAGATCCAGAGCAGTTCGGTCAGGACTCGGATGCAAAGGGGGACTCGATCCACAGCGCTACAGAGCACAATCGCGGCATGGCCCATCGCAATTCAACAAGGCGCTGCACAGCACAGCCCTCGGCACGGTACATCAATATTGAAACACTCAGTATTGTGTCTGCCCGTCGCCAAATCCGCGCCTTACATTTCTGTATTTATTTTCCGGGTGCGTGGGACGATCATGTTTGTGTTCAGGCCACTTAATGGGTATCTAGCATGGTGGTCCAGAGAATTGGAACCACGTGTTTTCACGTGTTCATGCCATCCGTGTAGGTTCCTAGCTTATCCCGAGCTGGAGCCACGTGTTTAAACCTGTCCAGGGCGCTCAGGGCGGTATCTACTAACATGGGTCCCCCGCGCTGGAACCACGTGTTGTCACGTATCCAGGCCACCCAGAGGGGTATTCAACATGGTTGTCCCGAGCTGGCACCACGTCTACACGCGTCCAGGCTACACACAGAGATATCCAACATGTGGTCGTCTGGCTCGATGCCTGAGCACATTGTGAGGGTGCCTCCAGCGAGGGCTGCGGAACTGAGTCGGATTTCGAGCTCGAGTTGGTCGAGCGCTTCGCGCGTGCCGATTGCAACTAGCCGGAGCTATGCGTTCAGACAGTTCTAGCTTAAGATCTAAATCAGTTCGGTCAGGATTCCGACGCCAACAACGGCTTGACCCACAATGCAATGGCGCACGGCACATTTCAAGGCGTCATTCTGTTGGCGCGTCCCTTGATTCTTCCACTGGAGGTTCCGTTGGCATTTCATTATGCGGCGCCGCACAGCGCAGAGTAGCACAACACAGCACTTGGCGCAGAATACAATCGCCATTGATACTTCAGCCTTGCCATCGCCCAATCGAAGTGCTTGGAAACGTTCCAATACCTCGCAGGTTTAAGTCCCTTTCCAGGTTCGTGGTCCGACCATGTTTGCTGCTGGGCCGTCCCATCGCGGCATTCTCTTTATCGGCCATGCGGTCGGTGAGCCTCAGCGCCGCCTTCAGCGAGCAGCCTTACGCGGCCGCATGCCTTTGCGGCCTGTATAATCTCCCAGGGCATCGTCCACCAACGCCGCGTCCTTCAACAAATGGGCGCCCTTGAAGGCTTGCGCACCGAAGCCTGCGGGACGATGCTCATCTCTCCCGCCACGAGGCCCTCCTAAAATGTCGTGCGCACCACATGCGGCAGCCCACTGGCCGCCTACTACGAAGCCACCTGCGCCTCCTCCCGCTACTGACGAGGCCCAAGATCTGCTGCCCACGCGTCATGCCCTCCAGCCCCAGAAGGTCAGCGGGCTCTGCCGCCGCCGCATACGCGGTAGGCGAGTCCACGGCGGTCCGGGAGTGCACGATCATCCCGAGGACGGGAATTGCGGCACGTGCCGAGCTTGCCCGCCCGCAGCCACACCAGACGCCTCCATCTGTCAGCATTTGCTCGCCCAGTGCCGCCATGAGTAGGCCCGCCTTTGCTGAAGACCGTCTACTCCGCCGCCGCGGACGGCGGCAGCGGTAGGCGCCCGCCCTGGCCGCGCGTTGTCGAGGAGGAGGAGGAGGAGGAGGAGGAGGGACGAAAAGATCATGAGGGAGGACGAGAGGTGGGAGAGAAGGGGCGTGGATCTCCACAGGTGCCGGCGGCAGAGCCTTGGAGTTGTCGTGGGAGGCAATGTTCGACTTCTTGGGGAAGGAGGCGGCGCGGAGGGCGCAGTCACGCCGCTGCTCCTCCCGCGCTTGCCCAACGCTGCCCGCTGCTCCTCCCCCTCCTCGAGCCTTCTCTTCCTGCTCCTCCTGCGCCTCCTCCTCCTCCTCCTCCTCCTCCTGTATCTATTTTCTGTCGCACCACCAGGCGCGTCGGGAGGGCGTGCTCGGCGTTTTGCCTGAGACTTCCTCACAACCTGAAATTCGAACATCCGAAGCATTACAAGGATGCAGGGCGGGTTATTTTCAAAATGGAGCTGTCGTTTTTGCGCCGCGCGCTTTCGCCTTTCAATCAGACAGCACTTATTAGGACGGAGGGTGGGTCGTTCTCAATATGGAGCTCTCGCCCTAGCGCCGCGCGCATTCGTTTTGAAAGCTTGCAATTGACAGAATCATGGAGGGTTTCTCCTTGTAGACATGGAGGCTCTCGCTTCAGCGCCGTGTGCATTCTTTTTACACGTTTGCAATATGTGCAGGGCTGGAGGACGGAGCTTTTGGTTTGTTCCAGGAGAGGGTATGGGACCAGGGTTCTCTTTTAGAGGTTTACTCCCATAAACGACTTGAAGCGGGCCAGCGGAATTGTTTCCAACAGGAATCGGAGTTGATTATGTTTGTTTTTCCTGGAAAGGGCGTAGGCCCAGGGTTCTCTTGTAATAGGTAAACCTGCCCCCCCAGGCCAGATTTCTGTAGGGCCGGCGAATTCTTTCCCTGATGAATAACGGAGTCGAGTAGGGCCGGCGAATTAGCATCTGAGGATGTCTCATGCGAAATTTGGTTTTTCCCAGAAAGGGCTCGGGCCCAGGGTTCTCTTTTAGAGGTTTACCCCCGGATCTGACGGCTGATGGGCCGGCGAATTTCTTCTGCGATAAATAACGAGGTCGCGAAGGGCCGGCGAATTAAAATTTGAGGATGTCCCTAGCGAAACGCTCGTTTTTTCAGAATGTGTTGAGGATGTCTCGAGCGAAACGCTTGTTTTACATTATAGATTGTCCTCTCCTGGGGACCAGAATTTGGAGAATCTCTCAAGTGAAATGCTTGGTTTCACGTGCCCAGGTCTTGAGGATGTCTCGAGCGAGACGCTTGGTTTCACGCCTCCAGGTTGCCCAGGCAGAGGTCAAGCGCCAGGATTTGTTGAGGATGTCTCGAGCGAGACGCTTGGTTTCACGCGTCCTCGTCGCCCAGGCGGATGTCTAGAATGAGGAGGTGTTGAGGAAGTCTCGATCGAGATGCTTGTTTGCACGTGTCCAGGTTGCCCAGGCGGATGCCTAGCATGAGGATGTGTTGAGAATGTCTCGAGAGATACGCTTGTTTCACGTGTCCAGGTCGCCCAGGCGGATGTCTAACATGAAGATGGGTTGAGGATGTCTCGAGCGAGATGTTTGCTTTCACGTGTACAGGTCGCCAAGGCGGATGTCTAGAATGAGGAGGTGTTGAAATCGTTTCGAGCGAAACGCTTGTTTTCACGTGCCCAGGTCACCCAGGCGGACGTCTCACATGAAGATGTGTTGAGGATGTCTCGAGCGAACTACTTGTTTTCACGTGTCCAGTTCGCTCAGGCGGACGTCTAGCATGAGAATGTGTTGAGGATGTGTTGAGCGAAACGTTTGTTTTCACGTGTCCAGGTCGCTCATGCGGATGTCTAGAATGAGGGTTTTGACAGGATGTCTCGAGCGAAACGCTTGTCACCAGCACGTTCCGTAGCGCGTCCCCTTGGCACGTCCCGCGGTGCGTCCCCATGGCACGTCCCCTGGCATGTCGCCTGGCGCGTCCCTTAAGACGTTTCGCGGCGCGTCCTCCTGTTATGCCCCCCTGTCAATTAGCTCTGGGGCAGCTACTATGTGTTCAGGCAGCTCGAGCTTGAGATCCAGATCAGTTCGGTCAGGACTCGAATGCAAAGGAGAACTCGATCCACGACGCTATAGAGCACAATCGCGGCATGGTACATCGCAATTCAGCACGGTGCAGCACAGCACAGACTTCGGCACGGTACATCAAGATCGATACAATCAGCATTGCAATTTGGCACGTTCTTTGGCACGTTCCGTGGGGCGTCCCTTGGCGAGTCCCCCTGACACGTCGCGTGGCGCGTCCCCTGGCACATCCCGTGGCACATGCATTGGCACATTCCGTAGCGCGTCCCTTGGCACGTCTTACGGTGCGACCCCATGGCACGTCCCCTGGCACGTCGCCTGGCGCGTCCCTTGGGACGTTCCGTGGCGCGTCATCCTGGCATGTTCCCTTGTCAATTAGCTCTGGGGCAGCTACTATGTGTTCAGGCAGCTCGAGCTTGAGATCCAGATCAGTTCGGTCAGGACTCGGATGCAAAGGATGACTCGATCCACGACGCTATAGAACACAACCGCGGCATGGCACATCGCAATTCAGCACGGTGTAGCACAGCACAGCCCTCGGCACAGTACATCAAGATCGATACAATCAGCATTGCACTTGCCCGTCATCTAATCAGGTGTCTTTGAAAACGCTGCCATGCGTTACATGTCTATATTCCTTTCCGGGTGCGTGTGTCGATCATGTTGAAATCCCGATCGATAAATCACAGGTGCGGGCCACTCTCTTATGCTCCTGTAGGTCGGGCCTCTCTTGGGGCACGCATCCGTGGAAAAGCTTGAAAACACGTGGGTTCCTAACCCCACCGAGCGGAACAAGCGTGAACATACGTGGGCTCCCAACGTCCCCGAGCGGGACTAGCGTGAAAATACGTGTTTCTACATATCCAGACCACCCAGGGGAGTATTTGACATGATTGTCCCGAGCTGTAACCACGTGTTTTTACGTGTCCAGGCCACCCAGGGGTGTATCTCACATGGTTGCCCAGAGCTGGTCCCACGTGTGGTTACGTGTCCAGGACACCCAACGGGTATCTACCATGGTTGCCCTGTGTTTGAAACACGTGGTTTTACGTATCCAGGCCACCCAGGGGAGTATCTATCATGATTGTCCCGAGCAATGACCACGTGTTTTAACGTGTCCAGGCCACCCAGGGGTGTAGATGACATGGTTGCCCAGAGCTGGTCCCACGTGTGTTTGCGTGTCCAGGCCACCCAGGGGGGTATCTAACATGATTGTCCCGAATTGGAACTACGTGTGTTAACGTGTCCAGGCCGCTCACGGGGGTAATTAACATGGCGGAGCCAGCTGCTTTCACGTGTCCAGGCAACCTATGGGGGTATCTAACATGGGCCTCCTGGGGCCCTCCTGGGGGCTTGGAACGGACGTCTAACATGAAGATGTGTTGAGGATGTCTCGAGCGAGCCACTTGTTTTCACGTGTCCAGTTCGCCCAGGCGAAAGTCTAGCATGAGGTGGCACGTTCATTGGCACGTTCCGTAGCGCGTCCCCTCGGCACGTCCCGCGGTGCGCCCCCGTGGCACGTCCCTTGGCACGTCGTTTGGCGCGTCCCTTGGGACGTTCCGCGGCGCGTCCTCCTGTTATGTCCCCCTGTCAATTAGCTCTGGGGCAGCTACGATGTGTTCAGGCAGCTCGAGCTTGAGATCTAGATCAGTTCTGTCAGTCAGGACTCGGATGCAAAGGAGGACTCTATCCACAACATTATCGAGCACAATCGCGACATGGCACATCGCCGTGGCGCGTCCCTTGGCGAGTCCCTCTTACACGTCGCGTGGCGCGCCCCCTGGCACATCCCGTGGCAGATCCATTGGCACATTCGGTAGCGCGTCCCTTGGCACGTCCCACGGTGCGACCCCATGGCACGTCCCCTGGCACGTCGCCTGGCGCGTCCCTTGGGACGTTCCGTGGCGCATCCTCCTGGCATGTCCCCCTGTCAATTAGTTCTGGGGCAGCTACTATGTGTTCAGGCAGCTCGAGCTTAAGATCTAGATCAGTTCGGTCAGGACGCGGATGCACAGGGAGACTTTATCCACAACGCTGTAGAGCACAATCGCGGCATGGCACATCGCAATTCAGCACGGCGCAGCGCAGCACAGTCCTCGGCACGGTGCATCAAGATCGATACATTCCTCATTGCATTAGCCCGTCACCCAATCAGGTGTCTTTGAACATTTTGCCATGCGTTACATTTCTCTACATTCCTTTCCGGGTTCGTGGGTCGACCATGTTTACGTATGTTCCTATAGATTGGCCCTCTCCAGTAAGCCCCCCGAGGGCCCAGGTCACCCAGGGGGATATTTGACATGGTTGTCCCGAGCTGGAACCACGTGTTTTACGTGTCCAGGCTAACATGATTGTCCCGAGCAAGGACCACGTATTTTTACGTGTCCAGGCCACCCAGGGGTGTATCTAACATGGTTGTCCTGAGCTGGCAACATGTGCTTTTACGTGTCCAGGCCACCCAGGGGGGTATCTAACATGGTTGTCCCGAGCAAGGATCACGTGTTTCAACGTGTCGAGGCCACCACGGGGGTATCTAGCATGGTTGTCCCGAGCAAGGACAACGTGTTTTGACGTGTCCAGGTCACCCAGGGGTGTATCTAACATGGTTGCCCAGAGCTGGATCCACGTGTTTGTCCTGGAAAGGGCTCAGGCCCAGGGTTCTCTTTTGGTTGGTTTCCCCTCGGATTTGACGGCTGTAGGGCCGGCGATTTTTTTCTGCGATAAATAGCGAGGTCGCGTAGGGCCGGCGAATTAAAATTTGAGGATGTCCCTAGCGAAACGTTGGTTTTTGAAAATTTGTTGAGGATATCTCGAGCTGTGGATGTCTCGAGCGGGGGCCTCGTGGGGGGCCAGAATTCAGAGGATGCCTCAGGCGAACTTCTTGTTTTCACGTCCCGCGCGCAGGAATTCCGAGGATGTCTCGCGCGTGCCGCGTCCCGCGCGCAGACATTTCGAGGACGTCTCGACTAATTCGGTTGTTGTTCTAGGATTTCCTTGGCCAGACAGGGGGGTATCTAACATATTCCGCCCGAGCTGGAACCACGTCGCTTCACGTGTCCAGGGCACCCAGGTGGGTATCTGACATGGTGGTCCCGAGCTGGTACCATGTTTTCCTGTGTCC